CTTCCCCTGTGAGACCTGTGAGGAAAACCCTGTAGTTTCCTATGGTCAGGTCTGAAAAATCACATGTAGATTTTAAATCAGGAGTTAGACTCCTCATAAAAAAATAAAATAAGATAAAAATTAACACCAATTGTTTTTTTTTGTTTTTTTTTTATGAATTTTTATTTATTTTTTTGTTACAGATATTTTACCTTTTTACCCCATTGGCACCCCCCACCCTACCCCCCCTCCACCCTGTCCCCGGCTTAGTTGTCCATGTCCATTGGTCATGCATACATGCATATAAGTTCTGTGGTTTATCTCTTCCCACCACCCCACCCCCCATCCCCTCTTCTGAGGGATGTCAGTCTGTGCCCTACTTCCATGTGTCTGGGTCTACTGTATTCCTCAGACTGTTATGTTCATTATATTCCGTATATAAGTGAGATCATGTAACACCAATTCTTAAACTCTCTAATATATTAAATGGGAAGAACACTATACTTTCAAACTTACAAAGTCCATGAGGCCAATATTACTGTGATAACAAAGCCAAACAAAGACAAAAAGAAAAAACTCAAACTACAGATCAATTTCTCTTATAAATATTGATGCAAAATTCTCAACAAAATCCTGGCACACTGAATTTAACAGATTAATAAAAGGATTATACCCCCTGACAAAGTAGGTTGCATTCCTGGAATGCAAGAATGGTTCAATGTATGACAATCAATCAATTTAATATAGAACATTAACAGAATGAAAGAAGAATAACCACACTCATCATCTCAATTGATGTAGAGAAAGCATGTGACAAAATCCATCACCTTTTCGTGATAAAAACACTAAAAAAACTAGAATAGAAGGAAACTACTTCAACATAATAAAGGCCATATATTGAAAATCCACAACTAGTATCACTTTCAATGGTGAGAGACTGAAAACTTCTGTAAGATCAGAAACAAGGCAAGAATGCTTGCTTTTATCCCTTCTAATCAACATAGTACTGGAAGTCCTAACCAGAGTAATTAGTTAAAAAAAAAAAAAGAAGTATAATAAATCTAAATTGGAAAAGAAGAAGTAAAATATATCTCTGTTCAAAAACAATATGATCTTGTATATAGACAATCCTAAATATTACACACAAAAACTGTTAGAACTAATAAACAATTTTAGCAAAATTGTAGTATGCAAAAATCAGTTGTTTCTATATACTAGCAAGAACAATCTAAAAAGGAAAGCAATTCTATTTACAATAGCATCAAATAGAATAAACACTTAGAAATAAACTTTTGCAAGGAGACAAAAGACTTATACACTAAAAAACATTGCTGAGAAAATTAAAGAAGACACAAATAAAAGGAAAGGCATCTTGCATATATGAATTAGAAGACCTAAATTGTTAAGATGTAAATACCACCCAAAGCAATCTATAGATTCAATGCAATTCATAGCAAATCTCAATAGGTTTTTTTTTTTTTTTGCAGGATAAAAAAATTAATCTCAAAATTCATATGGAGTCTTAAGGGATCTCATATAGTTAAAACAATCTTGAAAAAGAACAAAGTTGATGGTGTAACACTTTCTGATTTCAAAACTTACTACAAAACTACAGTAGTCAAAACAGTGTGGCCTTGGCATAAAGACAGACATTTATACAAGTGGAATAGAATAGAGAGCCCAGAAATAAACCCTCACATATATGGTTGCATTAGTCAGCGAGGGCTACCATGTACCATAGATGAGGTAGCTTAAACAAAATAAATTTACTTTTTCATAGTTCTGGAGGCTGGAAGTCCTAGATGAAGGTGCCTACTGATTCCTTTCCTGGTAAGGTGTCTCTTTCTGGCCTCTGCACATGGCCTTTCCTTCATGGTTCAGGGAGAAAGAAAAAGAGTGCTTTTCCTCTTCTTACAAGGACACCAGTCCTATTGGACTAAGGATCCACCCTTATGACCTCACTTAACCTTTCTTACAGGCCCTATTTCCAAATATAGTCACATTGGGGGTCAGGACTTCTAATATGGGCTTGGAAGGTGGGGGAACACAATTCAATCTATAACAATGGTCACATAATTTTTGACACAGGTGCCAAGACTATTTAATGGGGAAATATCAGTGTTTCAACAAATGTGTTGGGAAACTGGATATCCACATGCAAAAGAATGAAATTGAACCCTTACTTTACAGCATACACACACACAAAAGGAACTCAAAATGGAACAAAGACCTAAATGTACAACCTAACACTATGAACATCTTAGAAGAAAATATAGGGGAAAAGCTCCTTGACATTGTATTTGGCAATGATTTCTTGGATATGATATCAAAAGCACAGACAACAAAAGTAAAAATAGGTAAGTTGTATGTCATCAACATTTCAAAGTTTTGTGCACTAAAGGACACTATCAATAGAGTGAAAAGAAAATTCACAGAATGAAAAAATACATTTGCACATGATATATCTGATAAGGGATTAATAAGGAGACTATATAAATGACACAACATAACAACAAAAAAAAACCAAACAACTGATTACAGAATGGGAAAAGGACTAGACTAGATAGTTTCTCCAAAGAAGATATACAGATGTCCAATAAGCACACGGAAAGATGCTCAACATCAGCATGGGTGAAATGCAAATCAAAACCATAACAAGATACCACTTCATATTCATTAGGATGACTATTATAAAAAACAAAACAGAACAGAAAATAACAAGTGTTGGCAAGGATGTGAAGAAATTAGAACCCTTGTTCATAGTGGAATGTAAAATGGGGCAGCAGCTGTGGAGAATGGTGGTGACTCCTGAAAAAATTAAGCATACAATTACCGTATGATTCCGCAATTCTACTTCTGTGTACATAACCAAAATAAGAGGAAGCAAGAACTGGAACAGATATCTGTATACTTGTACTCGTAGCAGTGTTATTCACAATAACCAAAAGATGGAAGCAAAGCAAGTGTCCGTCAATAAATGAATGGATAAAACAAAATGTCCTATATACATGCAATGGAATATTACTTAACCTTTAAAAAGAAGGACATTCTGACACATGCTACAACATGGATGAATCTTGAAGACATCATGTTAATTGAAAGGAACCATTTACAAAAGGCCACATATTGTATGTTATCATTTACATGAAATATCCACACTAGGCAAAGCCATAGAGACAGAAAGCAGATTCATGGTTGCCAGGACCTGGGTCAAAGGATGAGCGGGAGTGACTGCTTAATTGGTATGGAGTTTCCCCTCAGAGTGATAAAAATTTTCTTGAAGTAGATACTGATGATGGATGTACAACATTGCACATGTACAAAATACTGCAAAATTGTATACTCAAAATCAGTTAAAATGGCAAATTTTATCTTATGTGTATTTTATCACAATAAAAAACCATATTACTGGCCTGAATAGAAATTCTTCAAATGATATATGTATATTTTTTTCTAGTACATGTTGAAATAAGCACAAATGCACTAATACATAAAAGCTAATTAAGAGGCCATCTGAAATTAACTCATAAATCCCCACTGGAACCCTTTAAGAAACAGTGGTTTAAAGGTTAAATAAAGTGTCATTGAATAGAGACTCTGGTTCATATCTCAGTTCAGTCACTTATTACCTGTGTGATCTGAACATTTGTTGTTGTTAATCCTTACCAGAAGATATTTTTCCATTGATTTCTTTTTTTAGGTAGAGTGGAAGGGAGGGAAGAGAGAGAGAGAGAAACCGCAATGTGAGAGAGACACATCGGTTGGTTGCCTTCTGCACAACCGTGACCAGGTGGAGATGAACCTGTAACCCAAGTATGTGCCCTTGACCAGGAATCTAACCCAAGACCCTTTGGTCTGCAGCCCGATGCTCTAAGCACTGAGTAAAACAGGCCAGGGTGATCTTAACATTTTAAAATCTAGATTCATTATTGCACAATCAGTATGAGTACCTGCCTTACAGTTTTTGGTGTTTTGTTTTGTTTTGTTTTGAGTATTAAATAATTACACAATGATTTTAGAAGCCAGCTGGCACTTAATAAACTTCCAGAAAGTGATGGCTATTTTTATATTGTAATAATAATAGTTACCAGTGACAACCCAGTCTGTCTGTCTGTCTGTGGACCCAAGGGATGGGGGAGGGTTGATCAAAGCTTTGTAATTGCACATTTTCCAGAACTTTTGTCCCTTCAAAATTTTACCCATCGGAGCCCTGAGGGGAAATTTGCAGATCAATATTGATTAATGTCTTTTTAAAAAATCTGCTAATATCAGGGATTGTTTGAATCTAGATTCAGTTTGGACAATATAGAAATTCCCACCTTAAGTTCTTTAGCTAAAGGAGATATAGATGTCCCCCAGCACAGGACTCCAGCCAGGCCCCAGGGACAGGAGGCTATCAGGGACCTGCAGAGCGCCCAGCTTCCCCAGGGTATAGACTTTCTACTAACCTTAAATCCAAGCCGACTGAGAAAGCCTGACAGAGGAGCTCAGCACTGCAGATGGAGAGACCAGAAGGAGGAAGGCTTTGTGTTCTAGGCAGTGAGCTTCTCCTCCCACATCCCTACACGTCCCTCAAGACACCCGAGAGACCTCAGGTGTGCCGCTCAGGCGGCTGTGTGGGTTTTGCATTTCCCCCAGGGCAAGGAACCCGCTAAAAGCTGTCTCTGTCCAGACAAGCTGTCCATTCCCTCTCTGTCAGACAGAAGTGAGTTTCGTGGAAAATAATTTCAGAGATTGGGATTATCTTCTCCCTGCAAAATTCTTTTCCCATTTCCCTCCTCTTCTTTGGACTTTAACATGAGATAAGCTTCCTTAGGGTGATGCTAACAAAAATGAACATGCCTGAATTAATAAAATAGTTTATCTGTGTGCATGAACACACACACACTCAGTTCACAAGAGGATGCTCAGAGGAGTGAGGAAACTAGAAATCACTAAAATTAAGACTGTTGAAATATTAATGATTAACATTTTCTTCAGAAACTCTAGGGAGAAAGGCAGGGAAGCAGAGAAACCTTTACCTCATGGTTGCTGTGAATTGGTCAGCCGTTTGCAGTATTTTGGTTAGCTGGAAGGCTCCTCGGAGATTTGACCAGCCTGTCTTGTAGGTTTCCACAAGAATGTAAGCCCCAGGGCAGGGTTATATAAGGAAGCTCAACATCAACTGATCTGATAACCTGTGGGTGTGTCGTTCCAAGAATAACTTAGAAAACCAAGGTAAAAACTGAAACTGGAAAATGAAACTGAATTTTCAGTTTCTGCCGAGGAAACTGAAACTGAAACCGTGAGTGCTTTCTTTGTTGTGAAAGCAAATTGAGAAGATAGTGAAGAACAGTTTTAGAGCCCTGGGCGTTCCTCTCTGAGGTTCCATCCCCACCTTATACAAACCTGGGAGCCAGGAGAAGCTCACAACGTAGAGTCACCCGGATCTGGAGCCAGGGATATGTGTGACAACTGGCTGTGTGAACTGGCCAAGGTCATGATTCAGGTCTGTGCCTGTTTGCTCATCTGGAAACAGAAATTGCTCCATAATGGTATAAAGTTCTGCAAATCTCTAACCTGGAGTTTTAACCCAACTTTGCTCCTGTTTTCTGAGAGCATGTGTCTTACTAGTCTATGCCTTTGCATACCCTTCTGGAGAATGGTCATTGACAATAAGAAGCCTGTCACCTCTTCCTTAAACACAGGGACCGAGAAAGAGTATGTGCTACCATCTTGAGATTTTAAACAAAACACGTTCATGTTGAATGACATTTTCTTTCTTTTAGTGCTCTCTCTTGTAGTTATCAAATGTGCTCTCATTCACCAGACATGACTGTCACACCTATGCAGGAGCATTGTCCAGTCCTGTGGTGCCCATGGCACCCAGCCGTGTCCTGCCCCAACCTGGCCCATGTCATCTTCTGTACTTGTGTGTGTGGAAAGAGTTGGAGAAAAATAAGTGCTGAGCCTGGGATTCTGGGTACAGGCTCATCTCCTATTACTAGTTAGTGCCTGCCAAGCTCCTATTTCTCCCCATTTTTCATGGGAAATTGCCCCCACTTTCCTCAACGCTGTAGAAAAGTGGTGATTTCCCAGCAGGGCTGCAAAACAAACTTATCCCTAAACACAGTTAATTTAATCATGGGTAAGTGCTTATTGAGAGGAGACCAACTTGATTCACTGGAAAGCTGACACAGGGAAGTGCTGGACCAGTAACATATTACATTTGGGTCCATTCTCAGCCATGGTTTTCTTTGTGGCCTGAAAATAATAAAAACAAGGGAAGCTTAGTCACAGGGAAGAATATCGCGTGAGCCTGGCCACTGTGGCTCAGTGGATTGAGTTTGTCTCATGGACTGAGCGGTCCCAGTTCGATGCCTGGTCAGGTCGCGTACCTGGATTGTGGGTTCGATCCCCAGTGGGGTGCATGCAGGAGGTGGTCGATCGATGTTTCTCTCCCACATCAATGTTTCTCTCTCTCTCTTCCTTCCTGTCTCTCTTAAAAAAATCAATAAAACATATTGAAGAAAAAAGAGTATCAGTTGATTGAGCTGAGAAAAAGAGAGAATTTGAGACAGGAGATGTAAAGCTCTAATGGTATCTTTTGTCTACGGCTTCACCATTCAAAGTTAAGGGGCGAGGACCATGTGCTGTGTCTTATGAGGTTTCCAAGCAAGTTCTGAGTTGTATGAAACCAGATTACCAATAACTGTACCTGGGACCATATTAAGGGGTATTCCTAGTGCTGCAAAAACCCAGTAACTGGCCTGGCCGGTATAGCTCAGTGGTTGAGCATCGACCCACAGACCAAGAGGTCACTGGTTTGATTCCCGGTCAAGGCACATGCCCAGGTTGTGGGCCTGATCCCCAGTGGGGGGCATGCAGGAGGCGGCCAATCAGTGTTCTCTCCCATAGATGTTTCTATTTTTCTCTCCCTCTCCCTTCTTCTCTCCCTCTAATATCAATAAAGAAAAAAAAGTTAAACAGAAAATAATCCAGTAACTGGCCAGGGTTTGGAACCAGATCTGCCTCATACCCTAAAATAGAACTTCAGTCCATTGTTGCTTGTTATGGGGGTTGGTGGCTGGATTCCTGATGACTGTGCAGAAAAGGAAGAATTGAGGGAGGTAGCCCCATTTTCAGTTAGCCTCCTATATATAGAAGGAATCTCCTATGGTGTAAATATATATATACCCACTCGTAATTAAGTGACCAGGATACAGTTACTTTGGGTTTGAGCATGAAAGAAACAAACAATCGACCTGGTTGAGGAATAAAGGAAATAAGCCAAACACCAAGAGAATCTCAATCTTGGATCACTTGTGCAGGAGGTAAAACAAGTGGTTTCGCTTAGAGGGTCCTGCATTGCTCCAGCATGGATTACCCACATTATGAGTGAAGTTCCAACTTAACATTAACTGTAGTTCATAGAACTTGAGTTCAAACATTAACAACTACCTGGTATATAGAAGCATGTAAATAAGAGGTGATGATGATGATTTTAAGTCATCAAGTTAAAGTAATGCTTTCTTGGGAAAAAAAAGTGACCTATAATTTGTCTATTAAAATAATAAGCATAAGAGGAACAGCTGCAAGAACATTTTCCTCTTAGAAACATTTAATTGGACACACTGCCAGATCTAAAAAGTTTCTCTTCATTCCCTCCCGCCTAGTTCATCTCCCGTCTCAGCCCTCACCAAATCTAAAAGCTTCTACTATGACATTGTGACTGAACGTAAAGAGTTCTTCTCGCCCTGGCCAGTTTGGCTCAGCGGTTAGAGCATTGGCCTGCGGTCTGGAGAGACCCGGGTTCGGTTCCCGCTAAGGGCACGTACCTCGGTTGCAGTTTGTCCCCGGCCCTGGTTGGTCGTGCGGGTGGCAGCCACTCGATGTGTCCCTTCACGTCAATGTTTCTCTCTCTCTCTCTCCCTCCCACTCTATCTGTACAAAAAATGGAAAAATATCCTCGGGTGAGGATAAAAAAAAAAAAAAGTTCTTCTCTTGATGAGTAGAGTCCAGGGAACTTCAACCAAGGCAATCTATGAGCAAAGGGAGTTTATTACTAGCAGCAAGTAAGGAGAGCACTGGGAATATCTCTGGAAGCACTGTCTCTCCGAATGGACAAGGAGTATTACCTTTCCTGGGATGAGGACATTGGATGTAGAGGCTGGCTCATGCTAGCGCTGGTGCTGTCTTGTGGTCAGCCTCACAGGGTGCATCCTTGTAGTGCAAGACAGCTTAACGAAGATTGTTAATTTCACAACTCAGCAACCTTTTTAAACCGATTCTGCTTACCCCATCCTGAACTAGTCAGAAAGATCTGCACACATAAAAGTTTCAGAATAAATAAGACAGTTTATCTATGTATTCTGATAAATATTCAGGCTATAAAAAGTGCTGAAATAAATGAATTAGAAACTCTCTCCTTTTTGGGAACAAGGTGTCTTTGGAATTCTTGGGGAGAAGAGCAGTTGGGTTTATAATTAGGTAAAGGCAGAGGCAGACAAAATGTTCCTTATGCTATTGCTGTGAACTGGCTGCGGTCTTGGTTCTCTAGGGCTCTGGCTCAAGCTGGTTATGTATTCAGAATCTTGTCCAGTGCCTCCTTGGGGTAAGCACACCCATGAGTGATGCAAGACAGACAAGCATTTCCCAGCAGGTGAGGCTCAGTTGGTTAAGGGTGGTCCCGTGCTGGTTGGTGGTTCGATTCCTGGTCAGGGTACATGCCTCAGTTGTGGGCTTGATCCCCAGTGGGGGCGGGGAGTGCAGGAGGCAGCCGATAGATGTTTCTCTCTCGTGGATGTTTATTTCTCTCTCTCCCTTTCCTTTCAGCTCTCTCTAAAAAAGAAATCAATTACAAATATTTAAAAAAAAAAAAAAAGAGATGAGCACTAAAGAGAGAGCAAGAACTGAAGAAAATTAAACTTTTAGAAAATGAACTTTCAGCTTTGGGCACGTTTCATTCCCAGGAGTCTAGCTAGGACCCACCCGGAGTGATGGACCAGGAATGATAAGCCACTTCACCTCTGTGAGCCTCACTTTCCATATCTGATAAATAACTGATTTGGAGTAGATTATTGGATCTCAACCCCCTGCTGCACACTAGAATTATCTAGGGAGTTTTATGAGTAACACTAACTAGAACCCATTCCAGACCAATTGAATTCATTTTTGGGATTGGGCCCCCAACCTCAATTTTGAAGTACATGAGGGCTGAAACCAGGGCCATGATGATCTCTGGTGTCTACGGTGTGACTGAAATTCCCTGAATCAGTGATCTGGGACTCAGTGCCTGGAGGTACTTCCCTTTCCGTGAGGCCCCGACTCAGTGTCTTCATCACTTGTCCTTGTTTCCCTGACTGCACAGTGTCTCTTCCTGATCCATAGGATGGGATGGAAAAAGAATGGAATCTTGAGTGTTTGACCACTATATAAAAAGTATGCACTATGCCCTGGCCAGTTTGGCTCAGCGGTTAGAGTGGTGGCCTGCGGACTGGAGAGTCCCAGGTTCGGTTCCTGCTAAGGGCACGTACCTTGGTTGAGGATAAAAACAAAACAAAACTATGCACTAGCTTTTGAGATTATTCCTAAATACTTCCAATCAGATCCATGGAGAAGGACTCAAAGACACCAGAAGTCCTTGTTATGAGTGGTCGAATGATTTTCGTATCTTCTCATGGGTCTTCCTATCTTCTGCTCAGCCCATCTTGCCCACAGTTTGGCTGACTGCAGCATATTCAAGTACTAACTGAATTTTTATCCTTTCTTTTTCTACATTATTTTGAAACAGTTGTAGACTCACAAAAAGTTGCAGGAAGATTCTTGCAATCTTCGGGCACCTTCCCGGCCCCACATCTAGCCCACATCTGGACCCCAAAGAGCAACAGCATATGTAACTATTGTACAACGTCAAAATCAGGAAAATGACACTGGTACTATGTGTATGTTTTAAAGATAAAATATATCATGAGTTCATCTTATAAATTCAAGTTTATAAGATTTTACTTAACCTAATTGATCTTACATCTGTGTAATTTATCTCTCCCAAATTGACCATTTCTTTTCCTTTTTTAAAAAAATATATGTTTTATTAATTTTTTTTAGAGAGAGAGTAAAGGAAAAAGTGAGAAACATCGATGTGGG